ATGTGGTGAGAAACCACACAGCACCTCATGCCCCCAGCCTCCTCTAAGAGAAGGGGTCCCTAGCTCGCTGGACTCTATCTCCAATGATGCACTATGGTCATTTGACTCCCATGATGTACCAAGCCAGTTCAACCAGAGATGAGACCACATTATGTCATGGGAGATGCAGTTTGGCCTGGCCCAAAGAGTAGGATCGAGGCATAAAACATCTGAATCACAACTCCCTTGAGGTTTTGCTGCAGCTCAAGCAGACAGAGATTAATGTCAAAGAGACATGAGTCAAAACATTTCAACTGAGTTCTACAAACCAAAACGTATTATTCAAGCCAAACCAACTCAAAACAAAATATTTAGTTGTGATTTTCTTCATAGAAAATTTAAAAAATCAGCAAAACTATATTTTTCTCATCAAAAAGGTTTGTGGAAAATTCCCACCCAGCTCTAACATCCAAACAATTCTTTAGTTAGGAGGCCAAGGATCCATTTTCCTACACTGAAACTATGGAAAGGCTACATAACTCATAGCAACAGAACAATGTCCTTAAAGAAATATACTCAGAATGAAGTTCACCTCAGCACACTGGCCTGTTCACAGGTTGGAGGGCATGAATTTTAAGCCCTTTATAGACACTTTTCTATGCACTGCAATAGCAGTCATAGCCTCTCCATATTCCTTCCAGTTCCATATTGTTTCTGGGCCGCAGCATCCTAAAGACCCTGGCTCCTGTCACACTACCTCTGGCTTGTCTCTAGCCCATTTACATAACAACCTGTTCAGGATCCATGGCTACAGTGGACAAAGCATTCGTCTGCATTTTCCACTGCACAGCCCCACCATGGGCTTCAGGTGGTATGAAGAGCCTACAGAAGAAATCAGAGGTGCATTAACTCTAGCCACTAACCACTTCTGTAAGTTAAGGTGCAATACTACTACGAAGTGCACTGCAGGTCAGATTGTAAAGTCTATCCAAAATGGAACTGGAACACAATGCAAGCATCTGAGTGAACATAAGAAAACAATGTAGTCAGTGTTAGTATTCATTTGGAAATGTTTTACACAACCAGTGGTTAGTCCAATATGAAAAAACTGCAAGAGAAAAAGTGCATTAACCTGAAGTGTTAGAAGCACAAATACACACTTAGTGACCTTCTGGGAGAGGCAGCAACTTCACTTCACACAGTTCCTGAAATAAGGGACTATTTACTCGGTGAATGTACCTAAGCGCTCATTTAAAATAAATAGCTCCATACCAGGAAAAGAGCAGCCTAAGCAAAACATTTATATGATATTTTGCCAAAGGAGAAAAATTAACAAGATGAACCTGTAGCACCTAGTTAAATGCTCCTGTTAACCATTATCAAAACTGAAATGGGACTGGAAAATATATAATTAAACCCATTCTTAATTTTAAGATATGCTTAATTGAGCATTAATAATCTATTCTGGGCCTGTTTGGTTCTAGTAAAGTCCAGCTAATAATATTTATTAAGCTTTAGAAAGTACTTTGAGTTGCATGGATGAAAAATGCTAATTAGTTTTATTGGTATATTAGTATATGTGTGAAAAGTATATCACCTGATCAGAATGGCGACGGAGAATGTGAAATGCTCCAGAGTAGTAGAGAGGCTACAAAAATAGAAAACTCAGTAACAATGGGGGATTTCAATTATTTCCATTTTGATGGGGCACAAATCACCTTAGGTCACGGTGCAAAGATAACATTTTTAGACACCATTAATTATTGCTTCTTGGAGCAGCTAGTCCTGGAACCCACAGAGAGTAAATGATGAAGTTCTAAGTGGTGTGCATGAGCTTATCTATGAAGTAAACAGAGCTGAAACACTGGGTAATAGCAACCCCAATGAAATTAAATTTAACATAGGGGCTCCAAAGAAACAGTTAACTTCAAAAAGGGGAACTACCCAAAAATAAAGAGGACCATTAAACAGAAATTATAAGTGTGATATGTCTGCAAGCTGCAGGGAACCATTTTAGAACACCATATATAAGTTAGGGTATGTCTACACTACCCCCCCAGTTCAAACTAGGGGGGGATAATGTAGTCATACGGAGTTGCAAATGAAGCCCGGGAATTGAATTTCCTGGGCTTCATTTGCATGAAGCCGGCCGGCGCCATTTTTAAATGCCGGCTAGTTCGGACTGAGTGCCGCGCGGCTACACGCGGCATGAACTAGCTAGTTCGGATTAGGCTTCCTATCCGAACTATCTGTACGCCTCGTGAAATGAGGTATACAGCTAGTTCAGATTAGGAAGCCTAATCCGAACTAGCTAGTTCGTGCCGCGTGTAGCCGCTCGGCACTCAGTTCGAACTAGCCCGC